CCCTGGAACCCTGGACCCCTGGAGCCCTGAAGCCCTGGAGCCCTGCAACCCCAAACGCTGCTGGCAGCCGGATCTCTGCGGCTCATGGGGTAGTTGTAAGTAGGGTGATAAGTGCTGTAAACGGGGGTAGTGAGGAGGGGATCTGTTGCTCCCCTGAGAGGCCCTGAACATTAATGTTAGGGATCAGTTCTTCGGGTCGGGGCAAGTTCTGGGACGGTTTTCAACGGCTCGGGGGTGGAGGTTGTAGAAAGGCTTAAGTTGCACGCGAAGGGGTTTGTGTGAAAGGCTTCCATAGGTTTTCCTGGTCCAGAGATCGAAAGAAGTCCCTAACCCTAAACCCTAAACACTGTCTAATTCGTCCCGAAATTGTTGCCCTGCACTGTGGCTGGTCTGCTTGGCGGGTGGCAAGAAAAAAACCTAAACTACAAAACTGCAGTGAGCGACCCCCCTACATTCCCAGAGGTTTCCAAAATGGGCTCAGAAGGGTGTGACTGCAAGCTGTAGGTTTGAAGGGTTTAGGGATGTTTGGGTTTTAGGGTTTAGGGATTGAGGGGTTTAGGGGTTCAGGGTTCAGGGTTTAGGGTTTAGGGGTGTAGGGTTTAGGGCTTCGGGAGGCGGTGCTCAGGGCCCCAAGCTTGTGAGGTTGAGCTCTTCAGGGCCAAGGAGGCGCCCGAGCCTAGACAACAGAGATTCGCACTGCGAGAGGTCGCCGGAGCTGAAGGATGAGATCAGCAAGGAAGTGAAGAAGGCCACGGACGGTTTAGGGTTTAGGGTTTAGGGTTTAGGGTTTAGGGTTTAGGGTTTAGGGTTTAAGGTTTAAGGTTTAGGGTTTAGGATTTAGGGTTTAGGGTGTAGGGTGTAGGGTTTAGGGTTTAGGGGGTGTAGGGTTTAGGGTTTAGGGTTCAGGGTTCAGGGTTAAGGGTTGAGGGTTTAGGGTTATAATAGGGGGTACTCCCTACTAAGACCATTAGTATACGGGGTAACATCCGCGGAGTGCGGAAGGGGGTTGGGTGGGGCTGCTTTCGTACTGACCGCTGCCCGCGCGAAGGATTCGTGCTGTGCATGGAAAGACCACAAAGCCTGCAATGGGCCCGCCTAAAAAGACACGGAATCCCAGCATCTGCATGCCTTGGGATGTTCCCCCCTTATACTAACAGTCCTTAATTGGGATTATAATCGCGGGGGGGGGGGGGGGGGGGTACGATAATCCCTATTAAGGACTGTTAGTATAAGGGGGGACATACCGACGGATGCCTCAGATGCCCAGGACCCGTCGAACCTCACCCAGGTCGAGGCCATCTGCCCTAGGCTCAGGAAGTGTTGGGGCGTTATCGTCTTTTTACCTTTCAGCTGCGGTATAATCAGGCAGGTCCTTAGCCTTAGTTGGTCTTAGTTCTGAAGTGAACCGTGGACCCAGCAGACCGTCAGAGCCCTTGCTTGTGGCCTGCGGGTGCGAGAGCCGATGCCAAAGCCCTCAAGACGAAAGCCCCCAATGGTCCCACATGCTGCATTCCATACAGGCAAGTGGTGCCCTGCCCTGCCCCCTCCCCCCCCCCGGCCCCCCCCAAAATCTCCACCAGAATCTATTGAGGCCTCTACATCCGTGTCGGGCGATATGCTGCGGCCATCGCGCTGCTCCTGTGCTGCATATTGGTTGTTGCATGCTGCGGGTTGAGGTTCAGGATGGAGGTGAGTAGTTGGGGGATTGATGAATGAATGGTGCTTAAGCCATTTTTCCTGTACCAATTGTCCCGTTCGGCGGTCACGGTTACGAAACCTCCCCTTGCCTCTTTTGTTGAAACTTCGTTTGTTGCAACGTATTGCGGTTCGCCGTCTTTAGGTTCTCTCCCAGTGAAGGTTACGTGCTGAGATGCGGAGGCCGAGTGCCAGCAAACCTCGGAAGTGCAAAGTCGTAAAGCAAGGGCTGGCCAAGAAACCCTCATCTCTAAAATGGTCTCAGGCTCATGGGAGCACCTCCAGAGGAAGCGAAGGCAGACACGCCGCTTGACTTGCAAAGTTTCCTCTTCGGGGTTTAAGGTGGAGGGTTTGGGGTTAGTAAGGGGGGGTCCGGTTTTCCAAAGAGGGTCCATAAGGGAGAGTGTCAGGCTCGGTGCGATCTCCGAGTTTCTGGGCTGGGCCGCCTGATTGTTTTCATGGCGGCGGCTACGTACACAGCTGCGAAAATGAGGGTCCATGATTTTTTGATCAGCCTCCAGATGGAACGAGTTCCATGGTTTTGCTGCAGGAACCAGGCCACTGAGGCCTTTAAGGCTTTGGAAGCACTAACCCAAGACGCTCATGAACTCAACACCTACTTTGCGGAGGTTCTTGTTGTACCAGGACCCTTTCAGGTATTCCACACCAAGAACCCGAAGTCCCACAAGACAAAGCGCCCCGCAAGAGCCCCCAAACTCCCAAAAAACCTCAACCCAAAACCCTAAGCCCTAAACCCTATATCCTAAACCCTAAACCCTAAACCCTCAAGGCCCTAAAGCCCCCAGAGGACTGGCCACCTCGAGTGCCTCTGCCATCTCGTGACGGCCTACCTCCGGCAGCTGCAGCAGAGGGCTGTGCCCAGGCTTCTACTATTTGCTCAAGGTTTGGGGTTTAGGGTTTAGGGTTTGGGGTTCTTCGAGTTGCTTAAGAACCGCCCCCGGGCCCCCCCCCCCCCCCAAAAAAAAAAAAAAGTAAGAAATATTCTTCCTTATTAGTACAGGGATTATTGTGTTTGATTCTTTCGGGGTTCTTAAGCAGAAAGTAGGCTTTAAGTGTCCTAAGGGTGAAGGATCTCAGGGATTGTAACGATTTCTGGGATTCTAGGGATTTTAGGGATTTTAGGGATTTTGGGGAGTTGAGGGACGTTAGGGATTTTGGGGGTTTTCAGGGATTTAGGGAATGTTAGGGATTTCAGGGGTTTTGGGGTTTAATGGAAAAGGGATGTTATGGCGAGCTCCCAGCTCCACCCCAAAAGCAGGACGCCTGCCTTGGTTCTTGCAGCCGTTTGGCGGTTAGCGCCCAGGGTTTAGGGTTTAGGGTTTAAGGTTTAGGGTTTAGGGTTTCTGGCAGCCACTTGGAAACGGCATTGTGCAAGAACTGAGGTACTACACATCCGCAATGGCATTGTGCAGTTGGTGTTAATTAGGCATCTTCCATATATATGTATATATAACATGACATCGTTTTCACTTTCGTGCACACATGGCGGCTGTTCTAAAGTAGGTCCCTCCACTTCCCTCAAAATGGACCCTAACTTACAACAAGCCTCTGCTGGGTTTCGTGATGCAAGCACCGATCATCCGACCCTTCGGGGGCATGAAGAGGACAAGCTGAGCCCCCTTGTGCGACTGCATTGGATTTGGAGTTCTGGGCTTCGGGCTGTAGGCTTCAAGTGAAGTATGATTTTAGGGTCTGGATCCGGGCCTTGTAGTTGCCGCATCTACCCGCAAGTCCACAATCCAGGCCCAAAGACTTGAATCCTGAACTCCCAGCACAGAAAGTGTTGGGCTCGGCAAGCATACCGAGGAAACGAAGTGGGTGTCGTCACCGGAGAACGCAGAGTTGGCGCTTTGACCGCCCAACAGCTGGGCTCGTTCTTACCGAGGTGTCGGGGTATAGAGTTTGTGTTTTTGGAGTAGGTCCGAAAGGGTTTAAGGTTTTTGGCAGGCAATCGGGAATCCGAGTTGAATGTGTAATTCATTGTACGGTGCCAGTCAGACTCTGCCTTTGCTAGCTGAGCTGATTGACGTTTGGTCCTCAAGGGCTTACGGTTGAAGAGCCGCGCCGTACATCTTGAACCTGTGATGCTTGCTCTGCTTGGCTTCGCTAAGCCGTCAGCTGCGGCGTATGGGATGATAGCTTCTGGACATTGGTCAGAAATTCTGTGGGTAAATTCCCTTTCCACCCTGTCGAGAAACTGAGCTCTTTGTGCTTTGCTACAGTGCGGCTCCCTGAACTCTAGACCTTGTACCTAAACCACCTTAGACTGCAATCCCTAAGTCCTCGAAGCCTAGGCGGGCAGATGCCGTGCTGCCTTCCAAAAACAGCGGCCTGTGGCGGAGATGGCAAAGCAGGCCGTGCCATGTCATCTTATTTCCTCCCGTCTGCGCGGGACGCGAAGGGTTTGGGGTTTTGGGGTTGTTGTGGGTGTGGAGAATTGGGGTCTCCCGAAAGCATGGGCTTTGCAAGAAACACCCAAGTGAGCAACGCGCATCCATCTCACTGATGAAAGCACGACATGCTGCTGCTGGTAGCTGCGGTTCCAAGTCCACGGAATTCCGAACATCTCGTTGAATCCATGCTCGGCCCTGCAGATCCTCTTAGGGTTTGGGTTCATTGCTTACCCTCGCATGAGGCAGGTAAGGCAGATGACACGACGCCCGAGTCTCTAGTCCACTATCGGGTAAACTGGCCAACTTCGTGGAGAGAAGGCCAAGCCGGATCCATCGGAGAAGGACGCGCACGCCACTTGGCTGAGAGCCCTCCGCCCTACTTCAGCCCCGGACTGGGCGAGGGAGTGGGGACTTGGGTTGATCTAGATGGCCCAACAAAGATGACAATCCCTGCCAAACTCTGTGCTTGTGCCACCAGTTCAGGGCCACCCTCAAATAGTTTTTTGAATATGTGTATTGCTTCACAGCGACAGCTCTTCAGACATCCCACTGCTCTGTGTAGACACAGGGGGCTTCGCGCTGCAAGGAAGCTGTCAAGATGTGCACCGAGCTGCGAGCCGTCCTCCTGAAAGTGTTTGGAGAGAAGAGGCCTTTCGCAATTGCATTAGCAGCACGCCTCGTCCCAGCTTACCACTATGATAGTAAGATTGTAAGGGAGGTGGTCCATTGGCTCGACAGTTTAGGGTTTAGAGTTTAGGGTTTAGGGTTTAGGGGCCACTGTGTGCAGCAGGTGCGACGACTGGATGAAGAACTCTGGTCGCCCCAAGATTCGCGCTTTCATGAAGGACTGCCTCAAGCGCGGCTTGGACCCCCTTGGTATTTGAGAGCGGCTCTCCCTGCAAAATTCTTTGCTGACGGCTCAGCCACAAGCTTCGGGTTTAGCCCGCAACCTAAATGCGGCAACCGAACCAATCGTTGCAAACCTTATGCGCATGAGCCTTGCCTCGGGTTGGACACTGGGCTCTTCCATAGCCCGAGTCACTTGTCGCCCAAGTCCGCAACCTCCCCGACAATGCAGAAACCATTGCCGAAGGAATCCTGACCCTGAACTCTCCTCCCCTTTCACCTAGTTTAAATGACACCCTCGTGCATGCCCCAAGGGAACGAATTTCGGGCAACGTGGCCTGCCTGCACCTGCGACATCAGATGGACTGTTGAACCTCGTGCCCTTGATCTCGGAGGGGGTCAGAAAGGGTTTGAAACAAGTCCAATAAGTCCAATATAGTGACCAGCATAGTTTGTGTTAGGGAGGCGGGGCCGGCCTCTGCACAAGACCCGGCCCGATGCACCCAGAACTCTCTTCTTGCATGCTGGTGTGGGTCGAACGTTTCAGGGGTTGCTGGGGCTTAAGCGCTTTTTGGGTGGCATTGTATACGTCATCATACGTCAAAAGATGTCAAAGGCCACAAGCCTGGGGCCCAGCGCGCAGACTCGAGGTTCTTTTGCCATTGTGGCCACGTCTGCCTACGCGAAATCGCAGTTCTGACTCAGGGTAGCCAAACTGTGGGTGTGAGGAAGGTTGCATGTGAGGCAAACCGTCAGTGCCAACATGCCTATTGGTGGGGTACGCGTATCCTCCGTCGGTGGCACGTGACCCTAATCGTAAACCATCCAGCAGACAGCACAGGTGACACCCCGAACCTAAAGTCCAGCGTGCAACTCAGGGCCCTCTTGGCCATGCATGCGGTGCAGTGGGCCGTGACCCACCCCGAGATTCGGGAGGAGCACGACGCTTTGAGCAGTTGGCAGAGTCTTTCGTACTGTTACTTCCAGGAGTGTCTGTAGCCCAGTTCGTTTTAGGGGATGTCATGGGGTCAGGCAGTTTGACATGACGAGGTGGGGAGGGGTGACCTCGTACGATGCGTGGGAGGAGAGAAATCCTGAGCTTAAAGCTTCAATTTGTGCCCTGCAAGTTGGGGTCTGAGTTGTGCAGGGCACCTGTGACCCCATACAGCCGAATAAGAAGGAACAAGATGCAAGTATCCCTGATTCCTCAGCTTCCTCTGAACCTAAGCTTTTTACCTCCATCTCAGTTTCTAAGGACGACAGCCTTGTCGTGGACGACCTGAGTAGTCTTGGGCCACTCGGCTGCGTGATGGTGGCATACGCGAACATGCCCGCATGATGCGAGAGCAATGAGTGCACGATCGCAGCAGGGCTGCCAGGGCTGCCGCACTAGCCGTCACAACCCTTGTGCACGATGCCCAACAGCTCTCCTCTGCTTTCAATGCAGACAAGACATTGGCTAAGAGTCTTTTTCTGCCTTGTCAAGAGGATCTTTAGGCCCAACTGCGACACGATGCAGCCACTAAACCCCCCCCAAGTTGAGAGGGCCTTACAGGGGGTTAGGGGTTGGGCTTTGGGGTTACAAAGGACACCCCCCCCCCCCCCAAGTTTAGAGGGCCTTGCAGGGGTTAGGGGGGGTTTAGGGTTTAGGGTTGAGGGTTTAGGGTTTCGGGTTTGGGGTTTCGGGTTACAAAGGGGGTTTTGGGTTACAAAGGACTGCTTGCTCCAAGCTGGAGCTGTACGACATCGCGGAGAAGGCCTTTCAGGAAGCGACGCGCGCCTTCCACGCCCGGCGCCCAGATCTCCCTAAACCCTAAACCCTAAACCCTAAACCCTAAACCCTAAACCCTAAACCCTAAACCCCAAACCCCAAACCCCAAACCCTAAACCGTCCAGCTGTGCGGGTGCCTAAATCCCCAAATCCTAAACCCTAGCCGTATCGGAGTGGGTTCTTCTTGTGTACCACCCCCTACCCCAAACCCTAAACCCTAAACCCTGAACCCTAAACCCTAAACCCTGAACCCTAAACCCTGAACCATAAACCCTAAACCCTGAACCCTAAACCCCTAAACCCCTAAACCCCTAGACCCTAAACCGCGCAAAAGGCCCGCTACTGGGAGACCGAGAACAAGCCCGCCATTGGCCTCGTGCTGTACAACTACTCGGAGCCAGGGCTTTGACGTTTGGGTTTAGGGCCTGGGGGGCTGGGCCTGTCAACCCCCTTCTCTCCAAGATGATCTAATCCATCCATCCATCTATCTACCTACCCCTACCTACCTACCTACCTCCCTGCCTACCTACCTACCTACCTACCCACGCACACACACACACACACACACACACACATATATATATATATATATAAATAAAAAAATTCGGGGCCGTGCAGGCCCTCTTCGTTTTTGGCTTGCCGCTGTCCTCAGGATAGGGCTATGAAGCCACTCCGTTGCTTCAGAAGGCCAGTGCAAGCCACTAGTCTGGTACATCTCAGCCACGAGTCCAGGACCTGTTGCTTCAGCTGGGTCGCTTCGACGAAGCAGAGGCGACCTGCCGCAAGGCCATGGAGCATCACGCGACCCGGATCGACCTAGTTGTTTGCATGGCTTCGTTCTCGTCTGCCAGCTTGGGAGGTGTTCAGATGATTTCAGATGAATGCAGTTCGGGTGTTTACCACGTACGACTGGTGAATCAGCGGTCCGAGTCGTGGCTTCCAGGCACCGTGTTCCCCTTCTCCTAGGATTCTCGGCTTCGAAACCCTCCGAAGTGCTCCGAGGTTACTGGGACAACCTGGGGCAACCTCTAGAAACCATGTGTTTGGTGAGACTGCATGGGTTGGTGGGGCCGCTCAGAGCAGACCGGTACCAAGGACGCAGGCGAGGAGTATGCTGCCCACCTGCATGTTGATTGTGGGCTTCCGAAATGGGGATCCCACTTGTTTGGAGCCCTTTGACAGACGGTCAGACGGGGTGTATAGGGGACACCGGGGACCCCAATTTTTGGAAACCCCGCTGGTTTTTCGCATCGCACGAGCACAGGGCTCATGACCTCACCCGAGGCAAAAAGTTGCCTGAAAGAGTGCCTCGGCTCCTGGCGGGGGGGGGGGAGGAGGGAGGGCAGGAGGAGAGAAATTCTTTGTCATGTGGCAGGTTGTCACAGGAGTGCAAGGGCCAAGGAATGATAGGGCTCCCCGATTTGCATCCTCGTGTGCAGAAGGAAGCACATCAACCCTTGAGTTCATGTGAGGATTCTGGCCTGCAAGTGCTGTGAATATTCCAGCCACTCGGATGCAAGTGGCTTGAGGCCCCAAAACCCCAAACCCTTAGACCACAAGCCCTGAAGGTATGGAGCAAGAAAAGTGCACCCAAAGCCTCAAGTCTTTCGAGCCTGCGGAAACACGATACCTGCAGTCCGCAGCACGCAGAATCTCAACAGGGGCTTATACGGATGTTTCGGTGTCGGATTTCGGGTTCTGGGGCTCAGAAATGTGCTTCATTCCAGGCGGAGGTTCACAAGCCTGTAGGGAAAGGGTTTAGGGGTTGCAAAGGGTTCAGGGCCTCCCGTGCTACACTCTCTGAGCTCTTCCCCGTTGTGCTTGTGGTTGGACTGCTGGATTTCATCGTTCCTTCTGGGTTTAATTGGAGGTGTTTTATTCTACCTTCCAGGAGTCCGGAACGTTCCAGGTAGTTTCCACAAGTAACCCCTTAGCACCCTTATATACTCCAGTATAGCCTTGTTTGAGAAGCTTTGTACAAGGGAGCCACCTCAGAACTCCCGAACTCCTGTTTGGTTCGACTGGCGAGGTGGGCGGGTGAAGACCATGATCCGTCTGCGCACGAAGCTTGCCGCCAAGCATTCCGCCGCCAAGGACTTGGGGACTTGGGGCTCGGTTATTGATGTACCCGTGTGTTCGTTACGTCCACGCCTTTAATCAAGTTCACGTGCTTCTTTCTTTCATGTTTTTCAATTGCGTTCTCTTCACAGTCATCACATGCACCCCTTCCATGTTGTAGGCGATTGTACGTGAGCTCTTCAACAACCGACCCTTAAAACCCTGACTGTTGGTCCTTGCAATCATTAGGGACAAGGTATTCATCTGATACTTTGGGACCGTGTTCATGTGGGTCTTTGGCGGACTTGTTCACTGACTATCCGGAATTCTGATTATTCTTGCATGACTGACAATGATGTAGCGCATGAACGAAGTGAACGCAGAGAAGAAAAAGAGAGTGAACGAAAGAAACTACAGCGAGAACGCAAAGACGCTTGCATCTTACATGATTTAAATGGGCTTTTGGGGAGTTCGTGTTCACCTTGCTGATTATGCTCGCTCCTTCCATTCACTAAACCCGGAACCCAAAACCCAAAACCCAAAAACCCTAAACTTTACCCTAAACCCTAAACCCTAAACCCTAAACCCAAAACCCTCCTCAGTCGCTGGCTCCGATGGCAGCGGAGACCCCACTCCTCCCGCACCTCGGAGACATGCCAGAGACCCCAAAACCTCATAATGTACATATATAGATGTGTACACATTATACACACATGTATATATGTGTATACTTATATATTATATAAATATTCTATTATGTACATATATATACAGATGTTTCTAGGTGAACCCTGAACTTTGCACCCTCAACCCCCGACCTCCCGTTTCTCTCATTTTGGTCTTGCGTGGGGCGCGGAGGATGACGATGCGCCGGGGAAGGTCTTGGCAGTTTGTGTACCAATGGCAGTGATTTTGAGGGCCGGTGCTGATTAGAACTATATCGACAGCTTCTTATGACAGCTTCACCCAAGGCTTCTCGCCGATTCAATTAGGCAACAGCAAGGTGTTCACGTATACTTGGTCTACGTTTCGCCATGATCTATACGACCCTCCCGGCCTGCCGCAACACAGCCGGCCCCTAAACCCTAAACCTTAAACCCTAAACCCTCAACCTTAAACCCTAAACAGTGGACCAGAACACGACCCACGCAACTCACAGCCTTAACAGCCCCCCCATGTCTCCTCATCTTGAAGCGCAAGACGCCCGAAACCCTAGCAGAAGAAGAGAGCTCGAACCTGAAAATTTTCGAGCTTCGGATCTGGGACTCGCATTGTTTTCCCGACTCTTAGAGAACGTGGGCCCAGGCCCAGCTACTATGTCGACTCGCAGTTGACCAGTGAGGTGCCAGAGGGGGTGTGATTTAGGGATTTAGATTTTAAGGGAGGGTTGAGGGCGCGAACGTTTCTCTTCACATTTGGGCCATTTGTTGGGAGGGTTGTGGAGTTAGTGAACGAGGTCAACACCAGCCCTTTTGGACATGGGGGGGGGTGGCTGATCTTCGTCATGGTCTCTCATTATGTGGTTCCAGTGACTTCATGGGGATTATGCTAGAACAGGGACCCCCCAAAAGGGCCATTAAGATCCAGAGCGCCGCAACGTAGTGCGCGCTGACTCTTGCAAACTTCGAGCCGCTGCTTTGTGATGAGAGGGGGCGTTTGAGACTCCCGACTAACCTCATGAATGCCAGAGTGTAAGAAGCCCAGCGACGACACGTTGGCAGCCTTAACTACTATTTGCTTAAGAACCCCCCAAAAAGAAAGTACAACAATAATCCCTATATTGCCCTTATAAGGAAGAGAGTTTCTTGTTTGGGTGGTTCTTAAGCAGTTGGTAGCCCTAAACCCTAAACCCCAAACCCCAAACCCCAAACCCTAAACCCTAAACCCTAAACCCTAAACCCTAAACCCTAAACCGTGAAGCCTGAGCCATGCCAGCTGTAAACTCCCAACAGGACCAGCCCTGAGCTCCCAGCTCGTGTCTATTATTTGCTTGAGAACCCAAGCAAATAAATAACTAAAGAAATAGAAAATACATAAATAGATAAATAAATAAATAAACATATATATATATATATACATACATATATCTACACACACACACATATATATATATATATACACGTAACATATCCCCTACATTGCCCTTATAAGGAATAATGTTTTGATTTTTTTCAATACATTTTTTGGGGGGGGGATTCTAAAGCAAATAGTTGTGACCCCTTCCAACCCCTCAACGCTACTTGGAGGTCCATGGGCAGTTATGAGAAGGGTTGTAAGTATGGCAATCAGACGTATTACCCCACTTAGGGTGCTTGGAACCCCACTTCCCTAAACCCTAAACCCTAAACCCTAAACCCTAAACCCTAAACCCTAAACCCAATTCCAACTGGCCATGAAACCTCCAACCATACCCCGTCGTGGTGGCTGAGGAGGTCCCGAAGGGCCGCTCCAAGAAGAGCAAGAGGAGACTGCGGGAATGTCGGGAGGGTCACCCACTTTTGTGGGGTCGGGAGCCATGCAGATGCCCTCAAACTCGGGAATATCGAGGCTTTCCCAAAAATGGTACCCCCCCCTGGTATACCCCGGCAAATACTCTAATCCTTTCTATGGGACCCCCCGCAAGATGGTACCCCCTATTTTCGGAAACCAGCAGCAGAACTCAGAGCCACCTGAAACCAACATTTTGCTCAAGAACCAGCCTCAGCGCCTGTCAATTTCGCGGTCAAGAGCTCGTTAGCGAGAAGGGCCGGTCGACCGACGAGCCCTTCGTTGCTCGGTGGCGAAGCTTTGGAACATGACTCTGGTCTTGAAGAGCAGCTTCATTCATTTACAGGAACATGGACGATTGACTTCGCGCTCAAAGAGTCTTCCGCCAAAGCTCCAGGTGCGATGCCAAAACACCACCGACAAGTACTTGGAGCAGGTACAACATCGGGCCACCAACTTGCAGCCGTTGCCGCCCTTGCCGCCTCCACCAACTCCTGCGCCTGAAGATGACGAGATGGCAGATGAGGAGCAGGACCCGGAGTTCCCAGGCAGCCGTGGACATCCAGAGTTGTGCCGCCGACCGTGTGTGTTCGTCGGGCATGGTTCCTGTCAAGCAGGACTGGATTGCAGGTTTTGCCATTTCACACATGACCGTGGCTTTCGGCCTTCCAAGCGCTTGCGTAACAAGATGCGGGGCTTAAACGTTCCCAGTATCCTGTTGCTCTTGCGCAACGGCCTGCAGATGAAAGCCGCCCAACTTGCGCAAGACCTGCCTTCCTTCCACAATCTACGTGCCATGATTGAGCATGCCTGGGCCAATGTGGACCAGACGGCAGCCCACGTCGAGCAAACTCTCCAGGCGCGCGTGTCCTCGCATCCGGTGAGTGCCTTGCTGGGTGACCAGGTCATCGGCAGGCTGGATCCCGTCCTCTACCAGCAGATCCGCCAGGAGTTGACAGCCTTGCGCGCTGGCTGCCCTGAACCTGTCACTCCGTAGCGCGAGCTTCTGATCTGCTCGGGCCAGATTCAGGGTTTTAGTGAAAGTTTAGTGTTCATGGTTCAGGGTTTACAGTGCTGGGGTTGCACCGGGGCTCCGTGCATGCCGAGCAAGTCTCTCTCGGCTCTTTACCGCGAAGCCGACGCAATCCAGACCGCTGGTTGCTCCAGCTGTTTCGCTCACGAGAAGCAGATGGGTTCCAGCAAGTGTTTGAAGATCGGTCACAGCATAAGATGCCCCACCCAACACACGCAAAGTACCGCTTTGCTACTTGCCACTCTTCTGCAGCACCACGCCTGCGAAAATGTGCTAGTACTTAATGCTTTGTTGATCCGACCTTCGTCTCCACAGGGAAGTGGAAACATAATGTTCGGTCCGGCTTTAGGTTCAGGACTGGGTTTATACAGGATTTAGGGTTTAGGGTATCCTCGAACACTACATGACCACGCATTTCGGCAGTAGCGTGGCGGGCATGGGGCTTCTTTCGATATAGTCTTGGGCACTACATGAACCCTAAACAGGCTTCTGGTGCATACACTTTGTCGTAGCATAGGGTATAAGATGCCAATCTTGGGGTTCATTCGGTCCGGTTTGCACAATCTGGCTGCGCCAGATGGGGTTTAGGCCCAATGAGTTGCGATCATCTGCATGGCAATGTGATTATTGGTATGATCTTCGCCTTCGCCCTGTCGTGGTCAGTGATGCCTGTTGCAGCTCTCACGACGGCCAGGCCTCCGATCTTGCATATGAAGCGATCTTCAGTCGCCCTAAATAGAACCGGGCAGACCCGTACAGAATCCAACGACCAGAAATGCTCACGTGGATGTCACGACAAATCGAAGGTCCTTCTGCAGTCGAAGCACTAAACCTTAAAGCAAGGCCGGAGGTGGAGGTTATGGGTTTTTTCAAGATCTTGTCTACGCTCGATGAGCAAGCACACTGCCTGCATCCCGCCAAGACGGGTTCTCCGAGCGCGTGACGCAGAACAATGAGAGTTGCTTTAGATGATTGCAATCTCATGGTCAGCACAAGGTAAGGGCTGGGCACTCGACACTCCTAGTGTTCATGTTGCAAGGCATCGCAACTCGAGGCCCAACCCAAAGGGTCGTCGGTTGTCATGTGCCTAGGGTGAAAGAAGCTCAGCACACTGTTTCCCAAAGCCCCGCAGCCCCTGACATCCCCGTCTTTCTTACGTACCCCACCGACCTTTTGCAACGCCAACCTCCTGCACTGATGGCCGACAGACCAGAGTTTACTATGCTAAATTGAATGCAAACCGTTGAGCACTAAATTGGACTTGTTGGTTGGATGCTGGCCTGGATTCAGACGGCTGTGAAGAGTAGATCTGACAATTACTCTGAGGGACATGTTTTTTTTTCCCATTCTGCCACCATTTCTCGCATGCTGAGTCTCTTTAGATCCCAGCGTCCAAGCGACGAGGCGCCTGCTTTGGCACGTCTTGGTTCCGCATTTCATGATGTTTGAAGGTCCACTCCACTACTGCCGGTTTGCCTTGGGCACACTCTGTACATCTTTGAGTTCGCAAGTACCGAACACCATACAGTTGTGCATCTGCTTGTACCCATTGTGGGCTCATTGGCAATGAGAGTCAGATTGTGGCAGTGGCGCATATGCATCTCTTTGTGCACGATCGAATTGCAGTCGAATCGGCCAAAACTACTGTTCTGATGTGGGATTCTTGGCAATCGGCGTCGCTCTTCACGCAAGTATCATAAGCCTACGTGTCGCTGAAGCGGAAACTTGCAGTTTCTTACTCACAAGTGCAGAGTCCGCCGACGCCTCAGTATCAAGCAAAGCGCGTCCGCGAGGACGGGCACTTTTATTAATTCCACCACTGTCTTGGGAGCGATAGGCTCTCTCCGAAGCTGCGAGGGAGACGTTCCACGTAGGAAGGTGCTCAAGCAAGTCGAGGTTTTTGAGATACAGGGAATTGTAAGTGGACCCCTGTGTCTACAGTCACTTGGGGGTGGGCAGAGTGGTACAAGTCAACGACGAAACCCTTGCAGGCGGCCTTGTGCACGATCGACTTGCAATCGAGTCGGCCAAAAGTACTGTTCTGATGCGGGATTCCTGTCATTCTCGTCACTCATGCATTTGTCATGATACCTGCGTGTCACTGGGGCGGAAACTTGCGCGTTCAGCGCGAGATGGGATGGGTCGGTAGAATGTGTTTTTCTGATGCGATGCATGCACGCGCACACACGCAGGCGCACGTGCACGACATGCACACGCACGCCCACACCACTCCCACATCCACTCTCACACACACACACCCACGCACGCACGCACGCACGCACGCAGACACACGCACGCACGCAGACGCACGCGCCCACGAACGCACGCACGCCCGCACGCCCGCACGCACGCACGCACGCACGCACGCACGCACCCACACCCACGCACCCACACCCACGCACCCACACACACGCACCCACACACACACACACACAGAGACACAGACACAGACACACGGACACACACGCCCACACACACACACCAGAGCACACACTCACGCGCGCGCACGCACACACACACACACACACACACACACACACACACACACACACACACACACACACACACACACACACACACACACACACACACACACACACACACACACACACACACACACACACACACACGCACGCACGCGCACGCACGCACGCACGCACGCACGCAAGCACGCACGCACGCACGCAAGCACGCAC